CGCCTGTAATCCTAGCACTTTGTGAGGCCAAGGTGAGTGGATCATCTGAGGCCAGGAGTTCGACATAGCCAACATGTCGAAACCCCATTTCTACTAAAAATACAAAAAAAAATTAGCCAGGCCTAGTGGCAGGTGCCTGTAATCCTAGCTACTCGGGAAGCTGAGGCAGGAGAATTGCTTGAACCCAGTGGAGGCTGCAGTGAGCCAAGATTGTGCCATTGCACTCCAGCCTGGGAAACAAGAACAAAACTCTGTCTCAAAACAAACAAACATAATAATAATAATAATAATAATAATAGTAATAGTTGCAGGACGGGCACCATGGCTCATGCTGTAATTTCTGCACTTTGGGAGGCCGAGGTGGGCAGATCACTTCAGGTCAGGAGTTCGAGACCAGCCTGGCCAACATGGTGAACTCTCGTCTCTACTAAAAATACAAAAATTAGTCAAGCATGGTGGCACATGCCTGTACTCCCAGCTACATAGGAGGCTGAAGCAAGAGAATTGCTTAAACCCGGGAGGCAAAGGTTGCAGTGAGCCTAGATCACACCACTGCACTCCAGACTGGGCAACAGAGCAAGACTCTGTCTCAAAAAAAGAAGAAATATTTCTTTTTTTAATTGTAGGTATTCGTAACCATATATTTCACTCTTAGCACTGCTTTTGGTGCATCCCCTAAATTTTGTCATGTTGTTTTTGTTTTTATTTGTTTCAAGGTATTTTCTAATTTCCCTTTTAATTTATATATATATGTAAATTAATATTGTTGTGATAGGTTATTGGTCATGATATTTTACAGTTACTTTTCCAGCATTTTAAGATGTTATGTTCTGAGAGAGAGTGTCTGGCACTACAGTTTTTAATTTCAATGACTGCTTTTTTTCAATTTTTTCCAAGTCTCCCTGTTTTTTTAAATTTTATTTTAAATTTTTGTTTGTTTTTTGAGACAAAGTCTCACTGTGTGACCCAAGCTGGAGTGGAGTGCAGTGGCGTGATGACGGCTTATTGCAACCTTGACCTCTCTGGGCTCATGTGATTCTCTCTCCCGAGTAGCTGGAACAGTAGGCTTATGCCACCATGTCTGGCTTATTTTTGTATTTTTTGTAGAGACAAGGTTTCTTTTTTTTTTTTTTTTTTTTGTTTTTTTTGAGACGGAGTCTGGCTCTGTCACCCAGGCTGGAGTGCAGTGGCCGGATCTCTGCTCACCGCAAGCTCCTCCTCCCGGGTTTACGCCATTCTCCTGCCTCAGCCTCCGGAGTAGCTGGGACTACAGGCGCCCGCCACCTCGCCCGGCTAGTTTTTTGTACTTTTTAGTAGAGACGGGGTTTCACCGTGTTAGCCAGGATGGTCTCGATCTCCTGACCTCGTGATCCGCCCGTCTCGGCCTCCCAAAGTGCTGGGATTACAGGCTTGAGCCACCGCGCCCGGCCGAGACAAGGTTTCTCCATGCTGCCCAGGTTAGCCTCGAGCTTCAGGCCTCAAGCAGTCCTCCCATCCCTGGTCATTTTTAATCATATCTTAATTTTTCTTTATGCTTTTGCTTCCTTTTTTATTTTTAAAAATTTTTTTTGCTTCTTTTTTATGTCTCTGTTTTAAATATACTGTTCTTATTTTATAATAGTTCTGTAATCATGATCTCTAACCCTTTGAGATATTCCCTTAGAGCACCCATGCTAAATTGTTTCATTGTGTGTTTTTTTTTTTTTTTTTTTTTTTTTTTTTTT